GTAGAGGTGACTAGGTCCCAGACTCTTCCTCCTGTTGTCCATATTGGGCAGCTCTAGACTGTTTCCCTCTGTATCTAGAGGGGATTAGGTCAAAGACCCCCTGCAGAGACCAAATTCCAAGACTTCTCAAGTCCTTTTTATAAAATACTGTATAGGACATACATAGAGCCTATGTACACCCTCCCATCTACTTTAATGATCTCTGGATAACTTATCATCACGGTTAAGCTGATAGGCAACTTGATTGGCAAGAATGGTCCAGGGGATTGACTGATAATGCCTACTTCGGGTGTGTCTGAGTGGATAATGGGGCCGTGGCCTGAGGTATCTATCTCGTTCCTGGCCCCTTCTTCTCAAGAGCTGCTCCTCTGTTCTGCTTCTTGAGTGACATAGTGTACTAGTCCTTCACCCCACCCCGGTCCCTGGGATGTGGTGTCAAACATGCTCGACTTTGAAAGGAGGGGTTTATTTTGGTTCTTGTTTCAGTGGGTTTAGTCCATAGTCGGCTGGCAGGCGTGGCACAAGGGCCTGGCAGAAGACAAATGCTCAAGCCATGGCAGCCAGAAGGCAGAGAGAAAAGGGAGGAGCTAAGGGCAAGAACACACCCTTCCAGGCCAGGCCTCCCTGACTCGCCTCTTCTAATGAGGGTCACCTTCTGATAGCCCATTTAGCCATGACCTCATCCGTGGCTGAACGCACTGATTCGCATAGCAGCCTGTGCTCCAGTAACCACACACACAGGAGACCTTTGGGGGCATTTGAGATCGAAATCACAGCAGTTGAACTGCTGACCTCCTCTGTGTCCCTCTGCCCTGCTCTTCCTGCCTGGATCTAGCAAACCATGAATTTCACCCTCTGAAACTGCAACCCACGAGCCAAACAAACCTCTCTTCATTTAAGTCTGGGTGTTATGTATTTTATCCCAGCAATGGGAAAACTGACCAGTATACTTACACTGTCCAGTATAGAGCAGTGCTATGTAAATAGTTGTTATGTATGGCATGGCCCTCCAAAAGCTTGTTCTTACTCAGAACAAATGAAGTTTTTTTTTTTTAATATTTACCATCTGTGATGGAATGTGTAGATGCAGAGCCCGTGGATGTGGAAAGTTGATTGTGCTTCCTAGTTTCCTACTTCTTTCCTCAGAGCACTTATGATCCCTTTGCATATAATGTCGTTGTTTTCACTATAATGTTGATTGGTGCCTTGTCTCTGCTGCCCACCAGAACATGAACACACATCGGCAGAGACATTATTTGCTGTTGTCTCCCAGGCACTTTAGAACTGTAGCAAACGTACAATGAGTGTCCCTATAAATTCCTGTGGAAGGACTAAGTGGCCGGCCAGGGAGAGAGCCACTTAGAGTAAAAGTTCCAGCAGAGTATGGTAGCACACATTTGTGATCTCAGGACTATAGGAGGCTGAGGCAGGAGGTACACAAGTTTGAGCCAAGTTTGGGCAGCTTAATGACTTACCAATGTTATATCTCAAGAACAAAACAAAACCTGAAAAGGGCTGGGATTTAGCTCAGCTCCAAGGCCCTTGGTTAATCCCCAGTACACACACACACACACACACACACACACACACACAAAGATTTCCAAAAGACACAAATTATTATGCAAATTGTGACACTTTCTGTCTGAGCTTGGAGCTTCACTGCAGAGCTGCGCCATCTGTGGTGATCCAAAGCACGGAGCAAGGCCTTAGAAGCAGACAGCTGAGTCTAGGAAGAGAAAGCCTTCCACACTTTGGGAGTAGTGATGGCAGATGCCCATCTGTGGGGCCTTTCTCACCATTCCCATGCTGCTCTTGGGCTACGGGTGGCCATTCTGAGGGACACCATTTCAGTTAGAAAAAGAGAAGGGAAAGTTTCAACTTTTCAGCTTCAAGAGAACCCATTGTCTCTTTTGAGTTTTAAAAAATTAATCTATGTGCAGAGCTTTTGTTTAGAGCCAAAGTTAATTGAGTGTTTGCCTTTTGCTTCTCTCTGGTGGTGCTTAGGAGAAGGTCAAGGTGCTCAGCTCCTTGAGCTTTTGTGCTGTGCTCAGGACAGGAAGGGGAGGACGCAGCAGTAAATGGCTGTCATGATAGCGTGAACTCACCGTGTGTTTCATCCTGTGAGTAGATCCTTTCACAAGGACCCCTGTTCACAGATGAGAAAATTGAGGCCCAGAGAGGCTCACTGACTTGACCCAGGGTCCCTGGACCTTTGTATTGATTTCCTAGGCCTGCTGCAAGAATCTGCCTGGATCACAAGTTAGGTGACTTTGAACCGCAGAAAAATATTTTCTTAGGCTTTAAAGCATCAGAAGTCTGGAATTAGAGGGTTGGCTGGGCCTCATGCCCTGTGAGGGTCTTTTCTCACCTCAGGCTTCTGGCTTCTCTTGGTTGGGTTCCCCTGGCTTGAGGCTCCTCACTCCCGTTTCTACCTCTGCTGTCACAAGGCCTTCTTTGCTCTGTGGGCCACTGTGCGCCCCTCTGTTGACAGGGAGGCCAGTCCCTGAGTGTAGTAGGCCCGTCCTAAGCCAGTGTGATATGAACTTAACATTTACAGAGACTTATTGATTTCTTTACTTATGCAGAGCTAAGGATTGAACCTAGGGGCACTCTACCGAGAAGTTACATTTCCAGCACTTAGTATTTTTTTACTTTGACAGAGTCTTCCTAAATTGCGCAGACTGTCCTCAAACTTGTGATCTTCCTGACTCAAACTCTAGCAGATGGGGTTGCAGGCCAGACACTGCAACCAGCTATGACTGTATTTTAAAGGAAGACTATATTTTAGCCAGGGATCCTCAAACATACAAGGAGTCTCAGAATTCTGGGAATCTGAGGGAGGAGAGTTCCACATTTGAGCACATCCTGGGTAATTTAGCAACTTAGCAAGACCCCATTAAATTTTTTTAAAAATTGTTTTAAAATGTTTGGGAATTTAGCTCATTACATAGGATAAGTTCCCAGTACCCCCCTCACACATACACAGAAAGAGAGAGAGAGAAAAGAGAGGGAGGGAGGGAGGAGGAGGAGTAAGAGGAGGAGAAGAGAGAGAGAGAGAGAGAGAGAGAGAGAGAGAGAGAGAGAGAGAGAACCACATTTTGAGGTTCTGAGTGGACACAGGTTGTTGGGGGACATTTTTAATTGCATCTCTGTTTGTCCCATCAGTCTTCATGGTCCTGTCTTCTCAACTGCTCAGATCTGGAGGAGGTTCAACAGCAGAGTGTTAAGGTTTAGAGAAAGGTGGGGCCCCCTGGATGTGTGTATGGGGAGAGAATCCCACCAGAGGGAGTGACATTTGGTTTTGCTAACATTGCTTATTTTCTTGGACACGTAAATTGTCTTGACTGTCAGTCTCCATTAAGGATTACTGAAATCAAATAGTCCTCTGACTCACTGAATGATTTCTGTTTCTCTGTCCTTTGTATTCTGCACCTGGCCCTTTTTCTTTCTGTTTGTATTTGCCAGTATAGTTCAGGCCATGTTTTGCTTTTGTTCAGGTTAGTTTGCTTTAAGTGTGTTTTGTAAGGTTGTAGAGAGTAGCACCTTCTGCCCCCAGGTGAGCTGCTTTGCCTTTGGAGAGGTGAAAGGAGGAGAGCGAGAGGGAGGGAGGTCCTGGTTGTAGCATAGGGGTGGGATTGTCCCTAGCCCAGGGGAGCCAGAGGGGCACAAGGGGCTTGCTTTGTTCTGGGCTCTACCTGAGATGTTTCTTCCCTAATTGTGCTAAATTTTCATAGTGCCCCAGGAGGTCCCCTGGGAGGCAAGACTCACCTGAGGCTTACAGAGGTATTAAGTCACCTTCTCCATGGTTACAGTGATGTATGGTAGTAGAAGGAATTATGTTACTACATCAGCCTACTTCTGGTTTTCTTTCCTCTTAGAGAGGAAGGTAAGAGAAGGTGGCTATGAATATATACATACGTACATATATATGAATATATATATGTTTAAGAGTATGAGGTATAATCATAAATACTATGATAGTTTAAATTTTAAAAGTTTATTACACTAAAAGACACTGTCATAAATTCCCTTCAAAATACTATGCCTCACTTCACACAAACTTATCCCAGTGTTCCTGCAACTTTCTGAAGCAGGTCTGTAAGTCCTCTTTCGTGAGTGTCTATAATTGTGCTGTTGTGCCTACCTAATGTCCTGAATTTATTCAAAACATTTCTCTTTCATATTCGTTTTTACTTTGGGAACAGCCAGATGTCACCCAGTACCAGTGACTAAGGTAGATGAGGACACACTGCTATATTTTCGTTTTTTTTTTTTTTTTTTCTCATTTAGAACTTTTATTTCAAAACCGAGAACCACAGTAACATCAATAGTAGAAAACCCATGTGGAAATATTTACAACCTGGTCACTGAGAAATGGGAACTCTACCCTGCAGTACCACCCAGGCAGAAGAGGTGGGGCATGAGGAGCCACCTTCTGTAAAAGCCCTGCCCCCAGCAACAGTGCTCATCCAAGGCCCAGGGACCAGGGAATGGTGGGAACCGAGGACTGCAACACTGTGGTCTGCCCGGAGGGCCTGAAATGTGTGAGCACCAAGGAGCGGGAGATGGGAGATGCAGGAGGGCAGAGGGGACGAGGGGGTGGGGTAAAATGACTGCAGATACCCTGCTGCCATCCAACCATCTGATCCCCTCCAATTAGTTTTACCACTTCCTCTCCCTGCAGCCCCTCAAACCCCCAGGCAACCTCATCTCTCCCCTTCCCCCTCCACCTCAGCCAAGGGAGGTGGCTCCTTCCATTCCTGAAGGACAGCAGGTGAATCTGAATCACAAGTTTTGGGTGCAAATACCACCCAGCAGAGGCAGTGTTGCTTCTACATATAGGGGTGGGTTTAATACATTCTATGCAAAAGGAGGTGACAGCAACACCGGAAGCAAGTGGCCTATGAACTACTTCCACCAGAGCAATATGACAGAGCAACACACGCTCCTGCTCTCCAAGTGTCATTTACTCCCTTCTTAAATGTGTCCATCAGGAGTCAGGTCCCTGAGGGCACCTAGTGGGTGTCACAGTAACATGGTACAAGAGTGACCTGGTATGGTAACAGACGTGGACCGGCAAGCCCTGACCATACACAGCACACTAAAACACAGCAATCGTTCATGAAAAATCTTTTCCCAGAGCTGAGGTCTCAAATTCCAAATTACCCATGAGGGTTCTCCTCGGAATTCCTTTAAAGCTATAAGTTAAAGTCAAAAATCAACAAAATATTGTAACAAAGTGGAGAAACAATGAAGCTCTAGTGAGCAGTATTTTTTGCCCTCACTGGAGAGCAGGGTGGGGGTAGAGGTGAGGGTGGGGGTGTGGGGTCTACAGGACAAATGAGAATTGGCTTGGTCCAGGGAGGGTAGGGAGGTGGCTTTCTACAAACAACCTCTCTTGTCTGGACTCTTGAAATAAAAATCCATCTACTGCATGTAATGACAATGCCCATCTTAGTAACAGCCCCGGATTTCAAGTAATACTATATATATGTATATAAACTATAATTTTAAAGCAAACTTCCAAAGGTAACCAGTAGTTTTTCTCTGCAGGCACATGACTTTCCTGAAATGAAGTGTAACGAAGTCTCCTGTGAGAGATGCAGACACTGTGGGGAGCAGGTGCCCTCCTGGGGACCACATTGCACCCCCCTTCTCCCTGAGTCTTTCCTTCTCACACCTTGCTTGCTCTGGTATCAAACCTGCTTTATCTATAGCCTTTCTTTAAAGGCCTCTCACCTCCATTTCCTTATGTCTTCACTGTTTGGTAAAATTTACTTAAAAAAATAAATATTTATGCAGTAAAACCAGGAGATAAAATAAATACAACCCAAGTGCCTGAGAACTGAGGTGTGGAATCCACAGCTCTCCCTTGCACCCGAGCAGAGCTGGCCCTCACGGCAGAAGAGGGGTGTGTGGCCCAGTGAGAGGAGGTCACCTGGCTGGTGCCACGGGAGAAGGTCCAACAAGTGATACGCTTTGAGAAGCCCGGGCACTGGCCTGTAAGCCAGGGCTTGCTGAGGGGGAGACAGGCACGGGCAGCAGCACTGTAACAGTCCTAGGTTTGTGGGCTGAAGGCGGCCTCAGAGGGTCGCTGTCCGCAGTCCTGGTGGAGGTGGCCTACACGCCTGTGGCCTGCTGCTTCCCAGGCTGCAGGCTGTTCAGCTCCATGGCTGGGCTCTTCCCGGATCCTGCGGCGTCCTGATCTCGCCCTTCAAAGGCCCGTGAGATGTCCTCAAAAGTCCTGCCTCGGGTCTCTGGGACTTTGAAGAAGGTGAACAGCCAGAAGATAATAAGGAAGACGGCGAAGATGATAAAAACGTAGGCTCCTAAAGCGGCTGCAGCCGTGGGGAAGAGCAGTCCAACCAAAAAGTTGGAGGTCCAGTTAGAGCAGCTGGCGACAGCCATAGCTGCCGGGCGGGGTCCCTGGCTGAAGAGCTCCGCCACGATGAACCAGGGGATGGGGCCCGGCCCGATCTCAAAGAAGGCCACGTAGACCAAGATGGCCACAATGCAGATGTAGCTCATGAAGTTGTAATTGTCCTTCAGTAGCAGTGAGACCGTCATGGTGATGGAGCACACAGCCATGCCGCCGAGGCCGATCATGTGCAGGCTCCTCCTTCCCACCCTTTCCACCAGAAACACGGACACCACAGTGAAGATGGTGTTGACCACGCCCGCACCGATGGTGGAGTAGATGGGCTCCTTGACGCCCGCGTCCTTGAAGATTCCCGTTGAGTAATAGAACACAGCGTTGATCCCTGAGAGCTGCTGGGAGAGCTGCAGCACGACAGAGATGATGATGGGCTGGCGGTAGCTGCGGGAGCGGAAGAGCTCCAGCACGGTGACCTTCTTCTCCTGGCTCATCCGCACGCTCTCGTCCTTCATCTCCTGGATGTCCTGGGACACGTCCTCAGAGCCCCACAGCCGCTGCAGGATTTTCCTAGCACGCTCCTCTTCCTTTCTGTTAATGAGTAAGAATCTAGGACTTTCCGGGCAAAGAGGAAGTGCCAGACTTTGCAAGATGGCTGGGATAATGGTGAAGCCGAGCAGCAGAGGCCAGAGCTCTTCAGTCCCCAAGATGAACTTCAAGCCAAAGATCTGAGCCACTAGAATCCCAATGACGATGCCCAGCTGGTTGAGGGTGCCAAAGGCACCCCGCAAGGAGGTGGGAGACACCTCTCCGATGTACATGGGCACAAACCCTGTGCAGAGCCCACAGAAGATGCCAGTGATCAAGCGGCCCAGGATCAGCATCTCCACGGAGTTGGCCGCCTTGCAGAAAGCCATGAGGCAGCCGCCAGCAACGATCAGGAGGTTGACCATGAGCATTGAGTTGCGCCTGCCAAAGCGGTTGACAAAGAGTCCAACGGAGAAGGAGCCAAGCATCCCGCCCACGGAGAAGATAGCTACGGACAAGGACCAGAGCGTCGTGAGCAGCCCCGTGCTGGGAGGATCCTTTAACTTCTCGGACAAGGTGCTGTTGATAAAATCTTTTATGATCATCTCGGGAGCATTTATGACCCCAGTGTTGTAGCCAAACTGGAAAGAGCCGATTGCAGCCACGGTCACAGCAAAGACCAGAGACGGGGTCACCTTGTACCCCATGGTCCTAGTTCTCGGCGAGGCTTAGGTAAGAGCTAGGGGTGGGATGTGAGAGCCGCCTCTTTCAGTCCAGGCAACCCGCAAAGTGTCCTTCCCAGGCAGGCGGCACAGCTACGACAAGTACAAGCACCTCGGTCCTCTTTCTATATTTTCGTTTGACAGAAGTTCCTGTGACCATTTGGAATTGTTATTTATCTCTAGACCTTCTTGGTTGTAGGTGATAGAAAATCAATTTATCCTAGCCAAAGAATGAAGGGAAGGAGGGAATATTCTAACTTCTATAACCCACAAGTCTAGGATTGTATTTTGTTACAGATGTTGGCCAAATCACAGGGTCCAAGCAGTGTCATCAAGACTCTGTCCACATCCTACTTTATGTCCTATAGTGAGGCTTTCTCTGTGTGGTAACTAAGATGGCAGTTAGAGAAATGTATCTTCGTTGGAACATCCATGAGGTACACAGGAAATCCTTACATGGTTTGAGGCCTGGATTTTCTTTGAACCCATCTCAAGGGTAGAGTCTATGTTCTGTGGTTGGGCTGGATTCTGGCCCACATAAGGAGGGGCTCATGTAGAGAAGAATGGACCTGCTGTCCACAAGCAGGATGGATTAATGGACAGATAAGAGCCACACATGCCCAGAGGTAGTGATGGACTCAGCAGAAGCGTAGATAATTTCAGTCTATGAATAAAGAGAAGAAAAAGCAGGAGCTCTGGAACCAGGCTTTGGGAATGTCCAAGATTACCAAGTTTGAGGATCAGTCAGAAGTAGGAGGAACCTAGGGGAACCCCACCTGGAATATGCAGTGTCATTCCAAGGGTTACATAGCAATCAAGCCCCCTCCCTTGCACACTGTGATCTAGGTGCAGGCTGTCTCAGTCAGCTCAGGCTGCTGTAACTAAAACAAATTAAACTAGATGTCACATGTGACACACATTGTTCACAATCCTGGAGACTTGGAAGACAGGGATGCGAGGTCTAAAGGTCAGAACATCCAAGGTCAGGTGCCAGCATGGTTGGATTCTTTTTTTTTTTTTTATTTGGTGGAACCGAGGATTGAACTCAGGCCCTTGCGCTTACCAGGCAAGTGCTTATTCTACTGAGCTATCTCCCTGGCCACGTAGTTGGATTCTGATGGGGGTGCTTCAGCTAGTTTGCAGATGGCTGTCTCCTTGCTCTGCATTTATATAGCAGTGACCGGAGAGAGAAAGACAAGGCTGTCCCCATCTTCTTCTAGAGACACCAATCCCATGCTGGGGGCTCCACCCTCTGACCTAATTACTTACCTAAATTTAAATAGTATCCCTTTCAAAATTCATTAGACATGAAGTTTGAGGACAGAAATGTTTTACCTGGTAGCAGAGGGCTAGCAGAAGCCAAAGAAAGGCCGGCAGAATGTTTCAGCTTTGCTAGATATAAAAATTGACTTAATTTTCAAGGCCTTATTCCTATTTCTCATGTATAACTTTAGGAGACTTTCCCCAGGTAACCTGGTCTGGAGGTAGCGTTCTGGGATTCTGGCTATATCCCTGTCCAGCCCCGAGTTCTATGACTGTGTAGGAAGTTAGGCGTACAGGTGGGGAAAACCCTGACCGCCTTGAGGGACTGTTTAGATAGAGGCAGTCACCTCACAGCTCGAGCCTGTGGCCACCTTGACTTGGGAGGAAGACAGAAGACACCATTTAGCTTCAAGGGTTGCCTCCCATTAGGGCCACTTCACAGGAAAATAGTCCATTCCTAGAATCTTTACTTCCAAATGTACGGGCCAGAGAAAGCTGTCTCAGAACTGTGCTGAAGCTTCACTTGAGTCTGGCTCCTATGAGTTATGACAGCCCAGGGCATCACAGCTTTTTTTTTGGCACTAGGGACCAGCCTCCTGGTAGGCAGGTTTTCCAAGGGAGCTGGACAGGGGTGATTTCAAGACGATTCGAGCACATTACATTCATTTTACAGTCTGTTTCTGTCATTATGTAGATTTTTGTAAGGAGCACACCTGCGCAGGTCATGCCTTGGTTCGTGCTCCTATGAGAAGCTAATGCCTGCTGATGCAGTGGGGGGAGGCAGCACTCAGGTGGTGATGAGTGATGGGACATGTCTTGAAATGCAGATGAAGCTTGGCTCCCCAGCTTGCCGCTCCACTCCTGCTCTGTGGCCTGGTTCCTGACGGCACAAGGACCTGCTCTGGCCCAAGGCTGGAGGTCGGAGGCCCCTGACCTGGCAACTATCCCAGGGCTCATAAGGCAGCTTCTTGATCGAGCTCTAATGAGCGTCACATAGAACTGTATCCTCTCTTGCTCTTGTCACCTTCTGACATCCCTCCCTTTCTTCCTTGGGATCACAGTACTGAACTGAGCCCTTTGTGGAATTTGCTGTAGTGTCAACACAGCACCATTTCCGAAGGCTGAAAATTGTGTCTGCTGTGTTGAATTTGGGAGGAAATTATATTTATTTTCTGATATCAGAAAAATCCATTTTGACCTAACCACCTCCCAGTGTGGGAACAATTTATGATTTTCTACTTGATGCTTTGAAAATTCATTTGAAATAATAAAAAAAAGTGACCCGTAGATTTCAGGTTAGCTTCCTGGGATAAAGACGGGCCACCTGCCAGAGACAGTTCTTTTCTCTATTAGCGCTCCTGTCTCAGGCTCTTTCTTCTGTGTTAAGCATTTTCTTAAGAATCTCAGAGCTTCTCCTTGGCGATAAATGAGAAACCCCCCCCCCCACCTGGGCTCCTGGCGTGTTCCCTGAACCTTGCTTTCATGGGGACAAGTCCAGGCAGCATCACCGCAGCTATGTGAAATCCAAAACCCATTCAGGGCGATGCTTGCCTTTGTGTGCGAAGGGAAAGGCCAAAGCTTGTTTAACCTGATGCCTCCTGGCAGGCTGGTGGCTCCCAGCAGTGAGAGAGAGGCCTTGTAACCCGCAGTATTCTCAGTTCAGCTTTAACAAACATTCTGGGTTTGAGACATGAGCAGATGGGAGCCTTTTAGCTGGGGGGGGGGGGGGGGAGATGCCAATGGGAGTCACACTGTGGAGTGAAGGAAGAGCAGCGTACAAAGGTAGAGCAGAAGCTCCTTGTCTGGCTTGACCTGAGAAAGGCCTTCCCAACAGACAGTGCCCTCTAGAAACAGCAGGAGCCCATGCGCTGTCAGCCAGCAGAACTGCAAGAAATTGAGGACTGGACTGCAGTCTCCAGTTGCCGGAAGCCCCAGCTTTGTGTGCACACCTGTGCTGACCGTCCTTGCAGCTTTGATCTCCAGCACTCCATCCAGATTCCTTGGGACTGCACCCTCCAACCCCAAACCCTGTCTATTCTTAACTTCCCCATCGGATATTCGCTGGTATCACTCTGATTTCAACCTGCCTGTACCTAGAGGGAATTAAACATAGTCATTCCCATAGTCTCAGTCTCTGGGTGTTTCCTCATGAGTCATGACGTAATGGTCATTTTATCCTTCGTGCCCATTGTAGACTCCTTCAACAGTGGGCTGGGCAGGGTCTGGTGTTCATGCTGTGCTATGGACTGTATCGGTGGGAAGGCCTTTTTTTCATAGTTTGGAGAGCCTGGAGCTGATTAGTTACCAAAAGGAATGTTTATTAGTATCTTATTGCAATACATAGTGACTACATTCAGCTTGGAGGACTGCTGAATGTATTTAGCACCTCTTGATCATTTTTACCCCCCCATCCCCATCCCCTACCCTTCCCTCTACAGAGCCAACGTACATGGTTGTGAATATCTCTTTTATTTTGCTCTTTAAATTATTTCCATTTTGGTGAGCATGTAAGTGTCTCAGTTACCCTTCTCTCCTTGCTGGGGCAAATACCTGACACCCAAAATGAAAGAAGAAAAGGTTTATTTAGCTCACAGTTACTGGAGGTTTCAGTCCATACTCAGCTGGCTCCAAGGCAGGTTGGCACAGCGCAGAGGGCAGCCATTTATGGTGGAAGAAGGCAGAAAAACAGCAAGAGCAAAAGGGAGGAACAGCGGCAACGATGGCTACAGTGGAGCAAGTCTGTCTGCCTTATGTTGCATTCAGGCTGTCAGCCCCAGGTTGGGTGTGTCACTCACACCCATAATCGCAGCAGCACTCACACACATAACCCCAGCTACACTTACACCTATATCCCCAGTGGATCATGAGTTAATCATAAACTCTACAAGTCCGCCCCATGACTGCATAAGGCTTGCGGGGGCAACAAGGCACAAACCATGATGGTAAGCTAGTACAGCTGCTGTGGAAATTAGTGTGGGGATTCCTCAAAAACCTAAAACTAGAAATTCCATTCACCCCAGCTGTACTCACACTGAGCATCTTCCTGAAAGAGCTAACTAAGGTACTGCACTATAGTGACACATGGATACCCACGTTAATAACAGCACGATTCACAAGAGCTAAATCATGGAAGTGGCTCATTTCTCTGCCTTCGGCAGAGAAATGAATAAAGACAATGTAGCATTGATGGAGGATGGGCTTTTGACTCATTTGTAGGAAAATGGATGCAGCCTAGGACCACAGTGCAAAGTGAACTCAGACACAGGAGGTTAGATAGCACATAGCTTCTGTAACATGACAGATCTAAAATACCAAAAGAAAACTCTTGTGCAAGGGCAGAAGGGGAACAGTGTGCAGAGTGGCTGGAGGTTGGGGATGTTCCATGCATGCTCAGGCATGGACTGTAGATGCAGCCACTCAGGAAAGGGTGGCACCAGGGATGGCTGCCTCTCTAGGAATTGGGTTTCAGATAAAGGAAATAAAGAATTGGCTGGGAAGAGTGCTCTGCTGTAGGATGGGATCTTAGAAGCCTCTTGGGAGCACTGGCCCAGAGAAAAGAGTTAGAGGATTAGCTAGCGGAACACCCTGGGCAATGTGGAGGTGAGGACTCAGGGAGGAACAGTTGGCTTGTGAGCCCTACAGTGACCAGGACATATACAGAATGGCAGTATCAGCTGGGGGGGCCTAAAATGGGACCAGAGGCTGGGATGTTCCTGAGCCATGTGGAATACAGAGCTCACCTGCTTCTCTATAATTCATGGTTCTGATTTTTGTCTTGAGTGAATTGTAGTAACATCATTGAACCCTAAGCTACTTTAGATTCTTCCCAATGTACATACCTGCATAGA